AAACTTACACTAATATTAAATGTATATAAAAAAGAAAAAAAAAACCAAAAAAACTGAAGCATTAATTGCTGATTCTTCCTAAAGTGTGGACGGACAGGTTCACCTACAAAACTCCGGAGTTGGGATGCTGAAGGTAACATCAATCAGCAAACTTTTGCTCACATTAATCCTATATATAAAGTACAGTGTGTGTCCAAGCATCTCCTCTGCTTCCACTGGTCCAATTTCAATGATTCATAGCTCATTCAAAAGCCTTAGAAAAGTTAGGTGCAGGGACCAATCTTTGTTGAGCTCAGATTCAAGGTTGCCAGATTATGTGAGGTTAAAAATATATATTAATATATTATACTAGCCATTATCATTGCTTTCATGGTTCAAGGGGAGTAACTCTTATTTTCCTTTTGTACCTAAAATTGCAATGCACATTTTATTATAAACTAGCTTAAAAGCTGCCCTATCAGGCAGCATTTAAGCTAGCTCCTGTGGAGGAATCTTGGTTTGGCCATCACTACAATAGCTAGGGAGGAGTAGGCATCAATAAACTACAGAAGTTAAAATTGATTGCTGCATTTAAGTATTGAATTAATGTTTAAGCTTACCTTTTGTATGTAGGTCCTTATTTTCTGTACAAACAATTATTTTTATTTCATGGATAACAGAACAGGGGACAATTTATAAGATAAAATTAATATAGTGTAAAGGTGGGAAAACATTTGAAGAGTTAGAGAAACATCATAGCTAATTAAGTAAAACCTATATTATGAAATCTATATGAATAAATGTGAAATTGGAGCTCAATTCTCCCACGAATTCTGTGATTAAAAAGCCCCAGGTCTACTTTATAGTAATTTGGTATTTACTTGAACCCACCCCCAACCCCCATGATGTCAAGTTGTGACACAAGTTTGGTTTAATGTGAGGAGCCTAGCTAGGAACAAAAAATCCCCTAGCTCCTGCTACTTTTGGCTGAGCTGGCTGCAGTGAGAGCACCGATCCCTCTCTCTAGTGAAATGAGAGGGCACAGCCTCGGGCAGGTGTTCCCCAGGGCCAGTATCTGTCAGTATAATTTCCCTTTCCTCAGTTGCAACTCTGTCCTTCAATGGAGCCGTCCCTGAGAGCACTCTGCCCAAAGACAGAGACACAACTGAGAGATGATAAATTAACATGTTACAAACTACTTTGGAGTAATTTGTATCATGGGGAGCATGGAACAAAATTGCCCAAGTCCCTGCAACCATTGGCTGTGTTAGCCTCGATGCAAGCACCAATCCCTCTCTCTGGTATAATGAGAGGGTGCAGCGTCAGGCAGCTGTTTCCCAGGGCTGGGCACCTCTCAGTATAATTTTCCTCAGTTGCAACTGTCCTTTGATGGAGACACCCCTGAGTGTACTCTGCCCAAAGACAGAGACATGACTGAGAAATAATAAATAGGGTGTTACAAATTACTTTAGAGTAATTTGGTATTTACTCCACTCCCCACAAAGTCGCGTTGTTAGGCAGATGATTTTCCTGCAGTAGGTTTTCATTTCTTTCTGTGGTAGACTAGTATGCCCTGTTATTCAACCTATAGCTGGTTAGGAGAAGAGATGGATTTAATATTTTTACTAATGGAATATAATGAATCCAACTAGAATTTGAACTCTGCTTTCCAATTTCTTATTTCGAGTCATTATCCATTACACCACATCAGATGTAAATAACATAAATACTGATAACTCTTCATCCCAGAAATTCAAACACTAATTGTTTTTCTCTAGCCAATCAGAGTGTTTGCTACAGAGCAATAGCTAACATCCTTGTAGGCTATCTGTTAATGTAGTTGATTTGAGCTTCACTGTGCGCCATTACTGTCACCACATACCAGACTAAGCTATGCTTAATTGATATTTACTAACCCTAATGCAAGCAATTAGAGCATAACAATCAATATTCTTCTAAATTAATCCATCTACAAATTATCTTTCTAAAGTGATTTTCATATAGTTACACTTATATTTAGAGAGTAACAACCTAAACTGATTAAAAATTTAGTTATAAAAGTAGCTTCAGAGTAATATCAATTCAAGGATTTCCTAAAGAAAAAACATATTTATATAAGATTTGGTACATCTCTGACTGTAGTCATGCATACAATATGTATCACTGAGTTACCATTTCTATTTCTCACTGAACTGGTTGCTTTTAATATATTTATGCATGAACAAATTTATAGATATAATTACATTTTTTTGAGATGATTTTTAAATCGATAAAATGAATAACAGAAGCTGTTTTCAAAGATAGAAAAGTATTAAATTTAATTTTGCAACATGAGAACAGGAATGCTTTATATGAAAACATCTCTATTTATATGACTCTTATTATAATAAAAGGTAATAAAAATTCAAAGAATGTTAAATTTAGTTTTAAATAAGTTTAATGAATCAATATTAATTTGAAGAATTAAATCTAAGTGATTCATACAAATAATATAAAGAAAACTTAAATTAATATTACAAAACTATTTTTCCAAAATATTCCTACAGTAATACACTCTGCTGGTATATAAATACAAGGGTCATTCAGAAAGTTCTAAGACTCAAACAGAAAGAGCTATAACTGAACATTTTTGCTGTGGCAATACACTACCACTTCTTATAAAGCTAATTCATATTTCTGTTTTAATTTCTATGCAGGTGAGGCTCATACAAAGGCAAGAAGTGTTCAACAAATCTGAAAATGAACAAAACAGAGATCCAAGCAGTCATAAAGCATCTGTAAAAGAAAGATACAACACCCAAGGAAATCCATGAGGACAGGATACAGACACTTGCTGAGGACTCCCCTTCCTATGCAACTGTGAAAAAGTGGGTTGCAGAATTCAAGCATAACAGGAATAGCACAGAAGATGACCATTGAGAGGTCATCCAAAAGTCAAGTTGATGCCATTTACCATATGGTTTTGGATGACAGTCATCTTACTGTCCAGCGTATAAGTCCATAGGCATTAGTTCTGGTTTGGTTAGTACTGTTTTAACTGAGAACTTGGAGGTGACCAAGCTGTCTGCTAGATAGGTCCCGAGAAGAAAGCTAAAAAAGGTTGATATTTTCAGGACACTTCTGACTTGGTTCCAGGGGGCTACATTAAAAAATAGTGAAAAACTTGTTTCTCCAACTTCTTTTGGGTGAGACTTATAACTTTTTGAACAACACTTGTATTTTACTTGCTTCTTTACCTTTAAAAAGGTTCAAATCAGGGAAAAGTTTATATATATATATATATATATATATATATGAAGAAAATATACAGAAAAACAAACAAAAATCTTAATATGCAATTATGCTGTATTAATGTAAAGTCAACATCGGACGTTTCGGTCAATTTTTGACCATCATCAGGACATTAAACATAATTAACATTAGAACATTGATCTCCGCGTATTCCTATATCAACGGAAGGGATTTCTTGAACTCTTTATATAAAATAGTTCAATCAACCTTTTTTAATATTTTGAAATCATCTTCGAATACGTTTTCACAACATCGGCCATGTGACGACGACGTGATCATATTTAAACGGAACGCTGATCTTATATAAAAATTTCAGTTATCTGTTTGGATTAGTTGTGCTCTTATGTTCATCGTCTTTTCATGTTGAATTTTATGTTCTAATGTTAATTATGTTTAATGAATATGTCCTGATGATGGTCTAAAATAGACCGAAACGCCCGATGTTGACTTTACATTAATACAGCATACTGCATATTAATTCTTGTTTGTTTGTTTTTTATTGTAATCGAATATATCCATATATATTATATATATATATATATATATATATATATATATATATATATATATGCATGCATGCTAAGGCTGATAAATATTAATGTACTGTATCTAGAGAGTGTTTAAAAAAGCATGAAGGATTTTTCATCAATTCCTTTACAGCATATCACATTAGAAACAGTGTATTATATTCATTCTTGTCTCAGAAAGAGTATGTTGCTAAGTAAAAAATTTTGGAATAAATTTAAGTTTGAGTTTTTCTCCTCTTTCTATATATCAGTTAAGTTTTTTTATTTAATTTTTCTTGTGAGGTGGTATAATGGATAATGGCTCAGATAAGAGCCGAGTTTGTTACATTCATTTATGTTCAAATACCCTTGTGAAATATATGAATCCATTTCTTCTCTTGCCAGCTATGGGTAAATAGCAGGATGGACTGAGCACTATACCCTTGGTTGGCAACCAGGAGGAAAAGGACAACTCTATATTCAAAACGAGAAGAGTCATCTAGAGAGCTTGAAGCACATTAAGTGTACCAGTTCATTGTATTCAGTTCTTCCAAAAAGTGTGGTTGGTTCTGCTGAAGCCTTCATCACTATAATCAAATATGTGCAAGTAGTCTGGCTGCTCAGTTCTAAGAACTGACATCCTGTACGCTCATACACTGACAACAATAGGTGAGTTCTGAATGTTCTGTATATCTGAGTGCTGACAGCTATTCTTTTAGCCATTATCAAGGATTTATTTTTTATTTTTAATTGAATGTGTAGATTTTTATCCATGTATCTAGAATTATGGGAATGTTATTTTTTTTCTAAACACAGCACATTGTGATAGATACATACATAAAAAATCAATTAAAGTAAAAAACATCATTGATAATGAATAAAGGAATAGCCAAAAGCACTTGAATATACAGAACATTCAGATAATGTTTATACACTTTATATCCAGAAAAGAAAACACTTATACAAACAGAAGAAAAATTAAATAAAAAGCTTCACAGCAGTACCATGTCAGTCATCTTTAATGAAACTTGTGTGTGTGTGTATATATACACACATGTATATATGACAAGCACCAGCATTTAAACAGGTGGAGTTTGTATATTTGTTTTATTGATGTCACAATGAAGAGTTTTAAACAAGGTTGGATAGTACCTAAGATAGGAAAATTTCTTTCACTGTATAAATTAATTTTAAAGCCATGGAATAATTATAATAAAACCTTACCTTGATGATCCTTTTGATCCACCAATTCGTCTTGTACAGCTTCTGTCATGACAAGCATCAACCAATTTCCGTAAAAGAAATAAACATTCCCTGAATGTAGATAAGAAAGGGTGGTGGCTAACAATGCACAATGATGTAAGTGTGTTGTTTCTCACACGACTAGCAGTTTTGAGTCGCCGCCGAGTTCTTGGTGATCTTTGTGGTGGGTCACTGTCAGCTGCATGATGTGGAGTCAATTTGTTAGGGTCAGTGGAATAGTCAAGGCGATCCCTGGATTTTTCATTGGAATGAGTCTTTCGCTCGAAAGGTCGGAAAAAATTGACACATATTCCATAACGTACAATCCCAGAATCTTTTTCAGTTAGAGTAAAAACAAATGGGGTTGTCTCTCGTAGACTGGTTCTCTTGGGCCCCTCGCTAATGCATCCCTCTGGCTGACAGAAGAAGATAACATCATTAGGTAGTGGGAAGTCACTGTGGTCTTCCACAGGGTACCGACGGAGTAACTCTGGAGTTTGTGCCACATTGTTATTGTGGTTAGGATTGCGAGTGCCAACAATCACAATATAATCCAACAGTCTGGGACAGAAATACTTTTTCATATACTCGCCCATTCTAGAAGTTGTGCAAGATTTAACTCAAATAGGAGTTTGTTGTGCCTGGGCCAGCACAAAAGGTTTTATGTAGCAGGGACGTTGTAGATGAGCATTTTTATAAAACAAACAAGTTTAAAACTGGAAATATGTCAGTGTTTTACTAATTGGATAACAAGAGAGGGCAATCATTTTCAGGTATGAACTCATATCCACGATATACAGGGATCTGAAAAGAAACAAAGAAAAAAAATTCTATAATTAATTTTACAGCACTTTTTAAATAATATTTGGGTTTTAAATTTATAGTATATAGAAATTATTGCCATGAACTTGGAAGTCTAAAATGAGATTGGTTTTTGAATCACTTTTTTTTTTTTTTTTTAGTATCAACATCATTGCTTTAAGAAAGCCTAAAATAGACTGACCTGGCAAAATTTTTTTTTCCTTAAAGTGTGGAATTTTGTACATCAGGTTATACAGCAAATTAACACATATTTTAGTTTGGTTTTTGTGGGATGCACACTTGAAGTGTTGTTTATATGGGTGCCAGCACATATAAGTGTACATGTGTTAATATATATATATATATATAAAAAAATGTGTGTGTTTAGTGTATCTCATGTTTTTGTGTTTTGTATATGTAGTTTGATCTATGATTGTCTTAGTGATGTACAAAACAATTATAATTCTTTTGTATTATTATCCATACATCATCTTACTCAGTTTTTTTATTTTTTTTATTATTTATCTTTATTTAAAATCCTTTCATTTATATTTGATATTATTATTATTATTAAATTTATTAT